CCCTAAAAATGCTCCGGAATGGGCATACAAAACTCAAAATACGCCCGTCGATACGGATTTTTCTGGTCCTGATACTCCGGCTGAAAATCGTGAATCGCAGTCATAAACTGATGATAATACTCAAACCGAACATAATGATTGATTCATTTTATCATTTTATGATAGATTTATTGCGAAATATTAATTTCTTATTATTGACTGCTTTTTGGTAATAAATTTAATAAATTTTATTAAAATAAATATATAATTAATTGTTTTGATTTATTATTGAATAAAATCGGTTATTATTATTATGAATAAACTAAAACTGGCATTTCAAAAAAAATAAATTGGTAATCTTTCGTAAATGTGTTTCGAGATCAATTTGTGTATATTTTATAACTAAAAGTTTGACGAATAGTTTTGTTTCCGAATTTTGCCGATAATAACGAATTTTTGCTGATAATAACGAATTTTTGCCGATTTGTGATTGCCAAGTGGCAGGCGAACTGTGCAAATCGTCCATAATAATTTTAACAATTTTTTGGCAACAATCGGCCAAAGTTAGATCAACTTTCGTCCAACATTCGTCAATTTGAAATCTGGACGAAATGGACTATTCTGACCAGTGATGGTGGAGAAATGAACACTTATGGGAATGCAAAGTGACTGCACGAAGAAATTAGAAAAGAAAAGGAAAGAGAAGAGTATTTAAATGAGGATAGAGGAAATGTGTTTTATAATTAAAGCTACAATGTATTTTTACAAATTAAATTTACAATTTATTTTATAATTAAATTTTACAATATATTTTACAATAATTTGCTAAAATTTATATTAAATATACATGAATAAATTTATATTACAATTGATATTATACTAACTATTGTACGATGTCCCTACAAGACCAATAACAAGTATCTTAACATGGTTTGTATATAATGTACTGTAATATTAATTTTACAATACATTTAAAAAATATTAAGTTGTTAGCAAAGAATGATCAGCGAAATTATTCCTTTTTAGGATTCTTGTGAAACCCAAAATTTCATTTTTGCTGGAAACAAAATTGCTTTTTTTGGATTTGTGTAACATTACTCATACCCTAAAAAGGATAATTTTATGCCAATTACTTAATTTCGGCCAGAATTATAATCAATCTGGTCAATCCGCGGATAATCTGATGATCTGATTTTTTTAATCTGGATTGATCCATCACGTGATCATCCAGATGACGGATTGACCAGATTCATCCGGAGCACAATAATACTGGACAACAATTGCTGAAAAATTATTTGAATATGATTTGCAAGATATTTATAACTGTGATGAAACAGGTAATCTAAATCAATTAATAATCTTAAAAAAACTTTTTTTTTATTAATGCTTTTATTATTTTTTACCCAGCTCTTTTTTGGCAATTAGAACCTTCAAAAACATTTGCACAAGGTCCTGTAATTGGAACTAAAAAATCCAAAAACAGAGTTACTATTTATTTTACTAACATGCAATGCTACAGGTGAAGATAAATTTAAGCCATTATTTATACATAATTATAAAAATTCTCAACCCCTTCATGATGTATCTGTCAAAGATAATGTAGATTATTATTGGAATAAAACTGCATAGATGCAACAGTCAATTTGGTTAGACTATTTAAAAAATTTAAATAGTTTAATATGTACTCAGGGAAAAAACATTCTTTTATTAGTAGATAATGCTCCTACTTATGGAAAAGAAGATGATATTCCTTCTTTTAGTAATATTGAATTATGTTATTTACCATCAAACACCATTACACATCTACAACCCTTAGATACTAAAATTATTAATTCTTTTAAAGCCAAATATTGAAAACTCTTGGTAGAAAAACAGAGTTGAAGCATATGATCTTGCACAAGAACTAAATAACCAAGCAGCATCAGTTTCAATTCGTAATGCAATTGATTTTGTTGTAAAAACATAGAACTAAGTTGAATAAACTACAATTAAAAACTGCTGGATGGAAACTGGAATTCTACCATCTAAAGACAATGAATCAGATGAGGAAAGTAATGATGGGGAAGATGATGTTAATGCTATTATTAAGTTGATTGAAAAGGAAGATCAAAAGGATTTGGAAGATGTAATCTGCCCTATAAAAAATGTTTTTCTGATAAATATTTGGAATGGGGTTTATTTTCTGAACATTCTCACGTTATTATATAATATTTGTTTCAATTTAATACAAGATGCAGAGATTGAGAATTTTCGACCACATAAAAAATGTACAATATCATGATAATTGTCCAATAAATGTCAAGTAAATGTTCAGAACAGGGTCAATTTTCTGAACAAAAAACTGAACAGTGTTTGGACAACTTTTTTTATAGGGCTGAAAATTACCATTTGATGATCCATTATCTGCATTGGATTATATAAATGCTGATAAAATTAACAGCAATGATTGCTTTTTATTAGATGATGAAATTGTTGAAACAGTACCAAGTGCAGATGATTTGCAAAATGAAGAAGAAATTATTCCTGTCATTTCTTTGACAGAAGCACTGATTAATGTAGAAACTTGATTAATTTACATAATTTCCCACTGGAAAATTTTGAAGTGACTAATGAAGAACTGAGAATTTTAAAAGGTATTAGGCGTAAGGTGTTGAGATATAAATCAGAATCTTCAATTCAATTAAGTATGGATGAATTTATCAACTTTAATTAGGAATTTTTTTTTTTAAAAAAAAATAACTTACAGTAATGGAACTTTATGGGAATATTTTATGAGTGAAACGTAGAAATAATGAATAATGTAATACAAAATAAATAAATAATGTATTCATACATGAACATGTAATACAACAATGAAATTTTTTTTAATAATTTTTATGTATAGCGAATTTTTACATTATTTACTATTTAAATCGGTATATCAAGAAAAACTCATTTTTTCGAATCTTCATTATAACGAACCAAAACTATCAAACTGGAGGGTTCGTTATATCAAGTTCTGACTGTAGACTAATCAAAGTCAGCTCTTGATATAACGAAGTTGGTGGTTTGGCCAATCAGGCCTTCATTATAAGAAAATTCGTTAGCGAATTTCGATATAATGGGAAAATCTGGTAAATGAAGCTTTGGTACTGTATATTGTGGTATATTATGATTATGTACAACGTATGTTACACAAAATATCATCATTGTATTTAAAAAAGTTCGTTATAAAAAGAAATTCGGTATAAAAAGAGTCATTTTATTATATACAGTTTATAGACTTACTTCGTTAAACAGTATACAGCATTTAATTAGTAATATTCGTTATAGCAAATTTTTTATATGTTAAAATTGGTACAACACTAAAGATTCGTTATACCAAATAATTCGTTATATCAAAATTCGTTATAACGAGAGCCGACTGTAAAGAATTTTGTCCATTATTTCTGTAAAAACCCGTAAAAATGAGCCTTTTATGGATCCATTCACGGAAAATGTACTCAATAAATTCCATGATTTAAGGTTACTAATTCCGGAAATATGAGCCTTTTACAGAAAAAAGATGGAATTTTTATAGGGAAAAATAAAAATGAGATGTAGGTTAAATTTGAAAAAACAATTTGAAAAAACAATTAATACTTGTCATAGTATCCCATATGGATTTATGGTAATTATGTAAAATATATGTTGGTTTTATCTGTTATGGAGTTTTTTTTAGAATAAAATGGTATATAACTATACTTATGAGCAATGTTGTCATGGAACCGGACAGTCTGGTCCATGTCCGCTACAGTATAATTTCATGTCCGGACATTTGTCCACATTATTGCCAGCCGTTTTTCTTGTTTATTCCAGTCAAAAGATTTTTAAGGTTGGTTAGCAGCTTGTCTGTGTCCGGACTATAGACGCAGACATGGATTATTTGGCACAAAAAAAATCGCCGGACATACAATGTCCCATATACAACACTGCTATTTTTATTTTGTATCCTAATTACTAAAATTCACAAAATTGGTAATTGGTTATTTGATGAGATTTACGTGAAGTGTATTATCAGGTAAGGTAGTTTTATGAAATCTGAAATGAACTAAAGATTTATTTGTGGTAACGATTTCATGAACCTTTTCACAAAAATGTATTTTAATTTTTTATTTGTAAAATTATTTACTAAAAATAACAACATTAATGCATAAAATTTGCTAAAAAATTTACGTAAGATTTTGAAGATCAGCAATTGAAATTTTCTTAAGAAAATGAATATCAATATCTATTTTTATTTTTGGAAACAAATTATTTATATAATTGTATTATTTTTCCTTCTTTTTCTGTATTATAATTTGGTGGGGCAATTAGGCCATTCCAAACTAATAATTAGTTTAAATTTGGGAGAATAATTTAAACAATTATGATATTTTTAAACATATTAAGATTTTCGGTAAAATAGGAAATAATCGGTCATCCAATTTGAGGGGGCGCTTTAAACATATGTGAACACATGTGTTTAAACTATTTTAAAATTTTCAAAAATAGAGGGGGGGGAAGTTAAACTAAAAATTAATTTGGAAAGCCTTAAATTCAGATATAATATTAGAACATAAAGTTCCTTACAAATCATATACTAATTAAATGCTCAGAGATCTAAATATAGATGACATACGGATGCAATTAATATCAACAAAAGGTCTTGTCCAAAAATATTCTAATTCCTTTTGACAGTAATTCTCTATATAAACTTCCTCGAAAATTCGAAAAAAAGGAATTAAAGCTAATCTTATTATTTAAAATTTATTTAAATAAAATTAATTCAATTCCGCTTTAATCAATTCATTAATACAAATGGCTAAATTATCCACACTTATTATTATTCTTGCGATCGTTGCATCTGCCCATGCCGCCGCTGTATGGTTAAGGCGCGTAACACCTCTAACCGTAACGGTGGAAAGTGAAGAAGTATTCTGCTCGTTCCTTCCAAAAACGCTTGGTGAAGAAATCGGGGATAGTGAAGACGATGCTATACCATTTTGCACTGAGGCTAACCCTGCCAATGCACCTGGAGCCAAAAAATTTCCCAACGGTTTCATTAAGTCTGCTAACTTTGCTAAAGGAAAAGGGTTTGTTCAAATAACCGGTACCATTGACAGAACTAAGTACAATTTGAAATAAAGTGATGGAGGCGGTCAATATGATACTAAAGCACCTTCTGGTGCAGTATGCAAAGGATTTAAAAATTTCGTGAACTTTGTTGAACCTGATATTAACACATTCTGCATTCGTTGCTGCACTGACACCAAAAAGTGCAATACCGGATAGAGTACTTAAGGTTGCGCTGTTGTCGTCCCTGGTGATTACAGTTAAAATCAGATATTTTTAATATAGTAGTTATTATTAATTACACTTAGTTTAATTATACCATTAGTTAACAATTTATACCTTTACATTAATTAATTTTATAAATTAAAATTACGTGTTTAAGAAAAAAAAATTAATAATTTTTTCTTAGATTTTTAAACTTTGCAAAATGATGTCAAATGCACTAGTTACACGAATTATCATTATACTTTATTATTAGACCTTAATAAAAAATTTTTAAATATTTTATTAATAAAAAAAATTAATACATACAGTACTTTTTTTATTTTTCTGATATTCATACATATGCATACATCGGGTAAACATTTATAGTATCAAGATCAATTACACAGACCTTATAATCACGTGATGTTAATTATGCAGCGACTAAATAAAACGACAACTGTTCGAAAGTAAAATTACCTAATGCAAAATTAAAAACTATTGTTGTTAATGTTAATTTTAAAGTGCAAAAATGAAGCACTAGCTCGGAGTTGAATATCACATTTGCGTATCGAAAAGATTTTTACAAGTTTCATTATTAAATTGCTGCAAAAGAAGTTATTAAACTACTACAGCTTCGTCATTGACAATTGTCGTTATCTTGTTTAATAACACGAATAACAAATTTTGTCTTATCTTGTTAAACTCAAGTTTAATTCTCATATAAACACGTATTATAATGCAATGTTTCAACATTATTGCTAAAAGTTTGTCTTTGTATTTGTCAGTAGACATTATGTATCATATACGATATAACGGAACCCCAATAAACCAGAACTGGCCTTATACCGGAACGTTTTTCCGGAAGTAAATCACATATATTAAAATAAATTTGATATAACGGAATTTATTAGTAAATTCTCGATAATGGCTATAACGGAACAAATAACGAATCAGTTATATTAAAAATTATTCGATTTACCGGAACACGTGACGATTCACGGTTTTAAACCAATAAAATTAGCAGCAAGTGTGATGACCTTTTAAGAAATTTTAGTGGAATACGCAAGCTTTGAAGACTCAGATGAAATTTTTTTGACTAGGAATGTTGAAAATATTGAATATTGAACACTTTATAAGGTTGTAATATAAATAGAATTTCCTAAATAAGATTGTTTGTTTGGAAATATTAATATATGTGAAACCTCTAAAAATAAATCGAAATCTTTTTTTTACACTTTAATCACGAACTTTTTTATTGAAAATATGTCTAATAGTGAAGTAAGAAAAGCAAAAACAGGGTAGGATAGATGATTTTGTTTAAGTTTTAGTTAATTATAGTGTATAAAATTTCACAAATAAAAACTTGATATAACGGAATTTCATATGCATAGAATACGCGCGGAGTCAGAAATAAATTAGCAATATTAAAACTCACCAAAAGTTTATGTTCTCTGTCTAATAAGGTTCTCGAAAGTTCTGAATAAAAAAATAGATATTGGCTTTGCAAGCTCTGAGTCGCTTCCTTGTAAATGCACAGTCATAACCGAAATATTCATATCTTATATTGCGTAGTCTTGATTTTTTTATTAGCGAATTTATATTGCGTAGTACATTAGTTTCGCTGATCAGGAATTATTTTGATTGGCACTCTCATGTGACATTTTGACATGTGCCATGTGGCTGATTTTTGATTAATAATTTTTTTTCTTAATTTTGTATTTGATCCTTGACACATCGCTGACTCAATTCGCAGTCACAGTTCGTAGCAATTAGTCAACATCTTTTTATGGAAACATATATATATATGAAATATAATCAAGATGTCAAGCTATTCTTCGCTATCTCGAGTACTTTTGCCGTTCCGGGTACAAACTAAATTTGAGGAAAATTCCCTATCTGCCAGTTCAACAAAAAGGTCTTTATTTTATACTACTGGACTATTAATTTTTTTGACCTTGTTTTAACTCTCTATTTCCGCGTTTGCAGATATATGGCCGACATTACGTTATATTGTTACCTTCTAGATACTCCTATTTATAGTGCCATTCCGGTTGACATTGGCGAAACGACCCGCGTTGAAGGAGTTGATGTCCCTATTAAAAAGTTCTCCTTTGGACATCTCAAGAAACAAATATGGCCCAACAACAATGAAGCTAATAAACTGAGGCTATGGAAGTTCGAAACCCCTTTCAAAAAAGATAATGAGCAGTTAAAAACACTTAACGAGAATTTTCGTAATGATGCATACCTTGAACAAGTACTTGGTGAAGATTTGAGCCCAAGTGAATTGATTAGAACGATTTTTCCGGTTGGTTATGTATTTCCACCTAATCACATCCATATCGTCGTACAACCGCCTCCGCCCGCCACCGGTAAGTGTCTCCCAATGGTTTACCTCTCGAACAAGAAATTCGCAGTAACAAAATATCGAGTTTGTTCTGATCTCTTTTTTTCGCGTTAAAGTAGGTCCCTCTCATCATGGCGTTCCGCCATTATTGATACATATAAGTTACTTGCACCGTATCTATTTGTTAATACACTGTGCTTTCTTATTGTTTACAAAACATAGTGACGTCGATCGAAGATGCCATGAAAAAGATTTTGGAGGGAATTCATAAACAAATGGACGTAGACAATGTAGACAATAATAAGCCCAAGCCCATGGCTCTAAAATAACGTGACCTTAAGCAAGCTATTGATGTGATTGACAGGAATTTTTGTAATTCCTTAGATAAACAAAAAGCTATAAAAAAAGAAACTCCCACGGCAAAGACAAACTATCGAATCCTTTTATGCGGTGGGGCACCTGGCATAGGTAACTTTCATACATTCTCTTGTATGTTTTTACAGCAGATAAAGCGGTTTTAGCCTTCTAATTAACAAATTCAAACTATAATTTACTAGGAAAGACACGTTATGGAATTGAATTGTTTAATTGTCTTGATGAAGAATGGAAAACGTCAAGAGGCAAAAAGCCTCACATGCTTTACATGCTTCTTGATTTCTCTAGTGGCTATGCTTTAGATGAATACGAAATCCAAGGAGATATGAAAATTGCATCGGAAATCATTTTTGGATTGCGGTTGGCATACTACTTTTTTGTCAACGAAAAATATGTGTGGAGTTTTGCAATGTTTAGTACAAAAGCCAATGAATATAAACATATTTTCAAGTTGGATAATGTTCTCGCGCACATCTACAGCCATGAACACAAAAGACTTCAACCTGGCCAGCATCTTTTCATTTTTCTCCAAATTGATGAATTTCAGTTTATTCTTAAAGATCGAAAGGAAAGAGCTGAATTATTTAAACAGTTAATGTATGTTCTTGGGCATCACATGACCGGAAAAATTCCAAACATATTCATACAGACTCTACTATCAGGTACAGCACCACAGGACGCAATACGAGCAATGGAACCTTCAATGTATTCTTGTGAACCTCTTGACCTTCCACTGCTTTCCTTTGAGTCACGCCTTGATATAATGAGGGAATTTGCAACAAATCATGATGTTTCTGATTGTGTATGGTTGCCAAAAATTTGGATACATCAATTACTCCTTGATACAGGTGGTCTTCCACGTGCTTTGGAATACCTTTTTTCAGAATTATTCGGGCAAAAGTTTACAAATATTAAGGAATTTTTTGAAAATCTCGAAAAAAGGATCTCAATCCCATCAACAATCTATGCCAATGTCACAAACGATATTAATATGGCATATAAAATCAAAGCTTATGCTAGAAACCATAAAATTCTTATATACGAGCTTATTTACAGAAATATTATGGTAATCGAATCAGATATGTCTGATGAGTTACAAGATGGTAACTCTACTGAAAAATTAGAACATTTGGAGCGTGATAGGCACTTGATACTAAGGAAATTGGAAGGAAAAGATAAAGTTCTAATTGATATACCATACTTCTTTATGTATCTTTATGCTGATGTCCTTGGAATTTTTACAGAAAATCTAAATAAAGCATTTTTACCTGATTCAGATTGGTCATGGAATAATTGGAAAATATTTATTGCAGATTTTATAGCATCACACATCACTATGATTGATGTGCTGAAAAAAGAAAAATTATTAAAACTTGGAGATTTCTTTCGTAGTGCACAGGGTAGTGATATTACACTGGGCCTGTTGATCAATTTTGAATCTGTTGAAATCTATGAATTAATACATCAATTTCCATGCCTAAATCTTTCTGCAAAAGCGGGAAAAACTGCTATGTTAAAGCCAGGTTACATTATGATCAATGGTTATTCGGCACCATTTGCAGATGTCTTTTTTTTAGTAGATAACCCTGAACCTATTCTTATTGCTATTCAATGCAGAAAGAGAAAAAAATCTCTTGATTTGAAAATAATTGAAGATGAACATAAGAAAAATTTGAATATTTCTGAAAAAATAAAAGAAAAGGCTGAAAAAATCAGAGAAGATGCTGAAGTAAAAGGCAGAGAGATGAAAGAAAAATTGCGAAATGAGGCAGAGCAATATACACAACTTGCAGATTTTTTGAGCAAATATCGTATTATCACAATTTTTATTACAACTCAGCGTTTCAGTGAAAAATTGGAAGACCTTCCTGATGATTGTATTTTGATTCATCAAGAAAACTTTGACATTTTTTTCGGGCCTGTATTTTCCTCTCGTATAAAGCTTGTAATGACTAGAGATTCAAATCCAAATCTAAGTACTGCAAGTGAATTGATGTCAAGATATAAAGCAATTAGTCAAAATATAGGGGAAAGAATTGAAAAAACTAGAAAGAGAAGGACCTTTATGTCACATGAAGATTTCTGTAAAGAATTTCCAGAATTAGCTAGTGATGATGAGATCCGAAGTAATTTTGTTTACTACCCATACCCTCCACATATAGAACCCTTTGAACATTCAAACAAGAGAACACGTTTAAAATAAAATCTTTTTCACTTTTTTTTCTACCACGTTGGATTTCGTCATTGTTAATATTTTATGAATAATGTCATTCTTTATCACATTACACAATGCACATATATTCACATGTATACATAAAAAGTGACTTGTAGTTTTATTTTATTAATAAAGTATCATATGCATTATATAAAATTCAATACAGTATAACAGCGTAATCATGTAGCATTTCAAATAACTGATATAACAAGTTAAATGCATTTATTTATTTTTTTTGCACAATATACCATAAAATTAAAAATAAAGCAACAATGGATGAAATCTTTATCAATAAAATAAGAGAAAAAAAAATTGGTGCTAGAGAAGCGAAATGAAACAAACTTCTTCAGGAAAGAAACTATCCATTTTCTCATCCACCAATGATTTCCTGCAACCAAAATGAAGTTAGATGAACTATTGTTAGGAGAATTAGTTAGTAACATTATTATTTTGTGAATACCCAAGAAATCCTGTCAGTACACAATAAAAATCACGTGTGCGTGAACAATTGTTCATGCTGATCACTTTTGCCAAAAAAATTTTTTATTATTACATGCAAAAATAAATACAAATGTTCAGGACTTTGCTCATAATACATGACGTCTATGCTAAAACCTATTTATTTGACTTTCTGGTAAGGTTGCTTAATGACTTATGCTTTTTTATTACCCTTTCTTCACTTTGAGAATCAGAATCCGGCTTCTGCACTTCTTCCAACAACCATGCAATATGCCCAAGGATTCTTTCAATGTTTTCACCCATATTCTTACTATCATATACAACAGTTACTGACTTTGATAGTTTGAACGCTAGCTTGTCCTGATCATTGAGTGAACACTCCATAAAATACCATTCTTTTGCATCAGTAATGATACTGAAAGTCTTACTCGTAAACACTCTTTTCTCCTCCATCTCGCTTGCCTTATGTTTATAGTTTGATAAAGCGGATTTGAGTTGAGCAATGCTTTTAAAAATATCTTCATCCTTTACTTCTGTCATGCCAACAGTTTTTGCAGTTCAGAGTAGATCTATTGCAAAATCGACTGGTTCATGCCCATTGGGTTCTGTGATATTTTTTTCTGGTCGAAGTTTGAACTTGCCCCATATAGATTTACCCTAACGACAAGGTAGAAGCAAACATACTGTGATTTCAATGCTTCATTTCCACTGATTGGAATGAACTTGAGACGGGCCTTCAGCTCAGTTATAAAATTTCAAAGTATTATCTAGGAAGAATCATTTTCCAAATCTTTGTACTCACAAGTAAAAGGCGAGAATACTGACAATGAAGGATTGTCTGATTCACCAAGTTCGTAAAGCTGACATACTTTTGGAAATAACCAATCTGAGAAAGCTTTTGAAAGGGTCTCTATAACAATAATTAACTTGAAATTGTTCTTCAATATGAACTGCCAGAGCATTTTGCTGAAGTCTTGATCGTTCTGAGGTGAGTACTTCATATGTAAAGTTTAGCACCACTCCGTCATTTTCAAGTGCTGGCAACTTAAGGTTCATTTCACATATAGAATTTTTGAGACCTTCAAGGGTCACTTCTTCTATGTTTACGATCTATTTGAATCCATTCGTTCACTTCGAACTAATGATGATATCGAACTCTACAAAAGCAAGCAATAATTAACCCAGGTCCCAATAAAGTTTTCAACTCTTTCCTCTACTATACGTATCATATTCAGACTTGTTGAGTAATGCCTACAATGAAGTGAGTTATTCCCTTAATTCCAATACTTCACTCGAAGCGATAGTGGTCTCTGGCGGAGAGACTAGGGATCGGAAAAGATTCGATTAAAATCGAAACTATCGAAAATCGATAAGAATCGATTTTAAATCGAATCTCGAATAAAAATCGAATCTACTTATTGTGGCGCAGTTTCGTTAATTTGACCGTAAATTATTATTTGTTCATAATAGTTAATTTTGGCCAAATTCATAATTCTGCCCGCGAATCACGTGACGGAACACAAACTTCCTAAAAAGGAAATTTTATCTCCCAATAAAATTCAAGTTGCTATCGCACAAGGTTGTACAAATTTCTGAAAAAGGAAATTTGTTCGTCGATCACTGTAATTTTTGTAATCACGTGATATGTGTTTAAACACACCCATTATAAATAGTATAAAAAAAAATCGGTATTTGCGAAACGATTAATCGCGATTAATCGATTTTAGAATCGATTCTAATAATGGGAATTGATTCCAATCCCTAGGAGAGACTAAGACATGAATATGTTTTTTAAGTAGTTTTTCAGTCCAGTAGTCTCCAATTTCATTTATTGCTAATAGCTCTTCACGTCCTTGAGTGAAAGATTGTTTAAGGGATCAATATGATTGTCAGAGATTGGTACTTTTCATAGTTTGAGCTTGTCTGCGTCTACATCAGCAAAGTCATTTTGTTTTTCCACCTTAATAGCTTTCTTTAATTCACTAACAGGCTTGTCCTTACTTATTTTAATAGAGAAAGCGTTTGTGGTCTTATTTTATTTGACGAAACATAGTAAAGTGATAGACATGTTTTTGGCTTATATAGTATTTTTGTGAAATATTATTGGCTTAAAGTGCAGTACGTGAGGATAAGAATGAGTAAAAAGAATTTTATTTGTGAAAAAAATGCTGAGGCAGACTATATGTGAGAAATTATTCTGTTTTACAAGCCTGCCATATGATCGGCCATATTACATCATAAGTGCAATGATCACCTAATCACTGCGTCTCCCTAACTATGAAGACTCTTCAGATTTTTTATTTTTATTTTTATGATCCATGTGAGCTAGATTAGTTCATCTAAAAATGTTAGATTTATAGTCCATAGACCACACCATTGCACATGATCCATTTCTAATAATGTACAGTACAATAATAATACTTTATTTATAAAATAAAAAATGTTTCTGAAAGGGTTCCAGAAGGACCAAGCCAGCCTACAATACATAAAATTGGCTGTTAAGGCATTTTGCATGACTATATCGCTATTACATGATATAGAAAATTATTTGGGGTATACAGTAAAATAGAAGTGCTCTCTTTAGGTTCCTCAGTAAAAATATCAATAAAATCCTCATGCATATTCATTTTCCTTTCAATAGTGCTTCTGGCTTGAATTATACAAATTTTGAGAGGGATTTGATTAAATAGTGCTCCCAATCCCCAATCTGCTTTGAATCACAATCTTGAGTAATAAAAGTTCCTTAATATACAGTGAGGATATACGATATTAACATACAATTTAGGAGTTATGCACTTGCACGTAATAACGTTAATGTTAATTCTGATCAGTTTGTACTTTAATATCATACACCCTCATTGTACATTAAGGAACCCCATCAAATTAAATGCCAAAAATGCCAAAATTAGGCTGAAACTCAGTCTTAATTTTGGCCAAAATTAAAATTTGGCCGAAATTATGATATTGTGTCATGTGACATTACACTAATTTCCAAAAAGGAAATTTTTGTTTTCCAGTAAAAGTGGTGAAATCAGTTTCACAACAGTTACACAAATTTCCAAAAAAGGAAATTTATAATATTGATTATTTTTTGGCCAGAATTATGTCCTAAAAATAGCCAGAATTATACCAATAATTTTGGTCAAATTTCGGACTTTTGGCAATAATTTCGGCATTATAAATTTTGACAAATTTATTTTTGATTGCCTAAACTTTCGGCTACAAAAAAGTTTCGGCCTTGGCCTAAATTACTTAATTTCGGTAAACAACCTTAGGAATAATGATGATGGATTTCTTACATTAGGCAGACTATATACAAATTGCTTAAGTGCTTTCTCCTTCCAATGTCTAACTGCCTTTGTGTGTAAATAGATTTTGATTTCGCAAAAAAGATCATCCTATCCTTTCCACTCTAATCATATGAGGTGATTTGTCTGCTCTGCATTAAAAAGAGTTATTGAATTGATTTTCATAATTTTCATTACTCAAATTATTTTGTAATACCAAAAAATCATCTGATTGATAATCACTTGATTAAATAATAAGTTGAACAAAAATTTACCTTTGCGAAACTTAAATTATTAAATGTAAAAGAGGTGTGAAAAAACCCATTTTACTAATAAAAAACCTATTTCTCATATATATGGAATTTTTAACATATATTATTAAAAAGTAAGTACATTTTAATAAAATATAAAGTAAAATAAAAATTTATATAGTCTTAGTAGCTATAAATGTTTATAAAAGTATAATAAAAATATCATATAAAGATGGTATCATAATAGATATTTTCAAACAATAAAAATAATTATTTTATGTCGGAATTTGTATTACCATCTTTAGATGCAAATATATCAAGATTCACTTATCCGTTTTCTATAATTTTAGGCTCGTTGGAAAGCCCTTGTTCTGGACTTTATAGGCGAAAAAAGAGCTCGCTGATTGAATCATTAGATCCAGAGATATTTACGTTTAAAGTTGAGGTACGAACTTTTTAACATGCTTAAATGCAAATATCTTGGGATCCACTGATCCGTTTTTTATAAATTTAGGCTCTTCGGAAAGCCCTTGATCTGGTCTATATGAGCGAAAAAAAAGCTTGCCGATTGGATCATTAGATCTGGAGATATTTACGTTTAAAGTTGAGATACAAAATTTTAATATATATAGTAAGTGCTAAGAATTATATTAATTTAAAAGAAATATTTACCAATTTAAAGTATAATAATATTAAATAAAAGTTTTTTAATACTCACCCCCAATTTACTGTATATTATATAGTATTTTGTATAACTAGAAAATGGAAACCATTGTAAGTCCGGAGTGTACAAAATCCAAATATCTTTAAAAATTTAATTTGTACAAAAAATCTGGTATCCCTAAAAAAATAAAAATGAAAAATGAAATATTAGAAACGTTTCTTTAAGGTTAAACAAGTAAGAAAAGCCTTTACAATTTACCTTTAAAAGTCTGGCATGTACAAAAAACCTGTGTTCCTAGATAAAAGAAAATAAAAATGAAACGCTAAAAACGTTTCTTTAAAGCAAAACAAATAAAAAACAACTCACCAGTCCGGTATGTATAAGAAATCCAGAAATCCTAGGAAAAAGATAAGAAAGTCGTTTAAAAGAAAAATATACTTACTAGCCGTAATCATAAACTTTTTTACTTGTTTATTTTTGATGTAGCTGTATGAACCAATCAGAAATAATG